CTCCTTGACCACCATGACCATCTCCTTGACCATTTCCATGACCATGGATGACCATGGATGACCACCAAGGGTTGGTGGCACCATCTTGACCACCTTGACCACCTTGACCTCCTCCTTGACCATCACATTGACCATGGATGACCATGGAGAGATTTTAGGACCTTCTTGACCATCTCTTGACCATCACCTTGACCACAGATGACCACATAGGGCTGGTAGAACCTCCTTGACCATGTCCACCATGTTCTTGACCACCTTGACCATCACCTTGACCATCTGCTTGACCGTAGAGATGTTTTAGGACCTTCTTGACCACCTTGACCACCTCCTTGACCATTGAGAAGTTTTGGGACCACCTTGACCACCTTGACCATCTCCTTGACCACTTCTACCATCACTTTGACCATCTCCTTGACCTCCTTGACCTCTGAGACGTTTTGGGACCTTCTTGACCGTATTGACCACCTTGACCATCACCTTGACCACTTTCGTGACCACCTTGACCATTTTCTTGACCATGGATGACCATGGAGAGGTTTTAGGACCTTCTTGACCACCTTGACCATGTTCTTGACCACCTTGACCACCTTCACCATCACCTTGACCATCTCCTTGACCATTGAGAGGTTTTAGGACCTTCTTGACCACTTTGACCATGTCCTTGACCATCTCCTTGACCATGGATGACCACAGTGAGGTTTTAGGATCTCCTTGACCACCTTGACCATGTTCTTGACCACATTGACCACCTTGACCATCTCCTTGACCATCACCTTGACCATCACCTTGACCACATCCTTGACCACATCCTTGACCACTTCCACATCTCCTTGACCACGTTGACCATCACCTTGACCATGGATGACCATGGAGACATTTTAGGACCACCTTGACCATGTCCTTGACCATCTCCTTGACCATGGATGACCATGGAGAATTTTTTGGACCTTCTTGACCACCTTGACCACGTTGACCATCTCCTTGACTATCTTGACCATCACCTTGAGCGCCTTGACCATGTCCTTGACCACCTACTTGACCATGTCCACCATGTTCTTGACCATGGAGGGGTTTTAGGACCTTCTTGACCACCTTGACCACATCCTTGACCACTTCCACATCTCCTTGACCACCTTGACCATCTCCTTGACCATGAATGACCACGAAGGGTTGGTGGTACCTTCTTGACCACCTTGACCACCTTGACCACCACCTTGACCATCTCCTCGATCTCTTTGTCCACCCCAGGACAACTTCGGCTACGACCTCCCTGCGGTGGAAGCCGCCATGAAGAAGCACGAGGCCATCGAGGCCGACATCTCCTCGTACCACGAGCGCATCCAGGCCGTGGTGGACCTGGCCCAGGAGATGGAGGCCGAGGGCTACCACGACGTCCGGCGTGTCCGAGCGCAGMGGGACAACGTCCTGCGGCAGTGGACGCTGCTGACCGAGCTGCTGCGGGGACGCCGCGCCCGCCTGCGCCAGCACCTGGAGCTGCAGAAGATCTTCCAGGAGATGGTCACCATGATGGACTGGATGGAGGAGATGCAGGTGAAGGGG